ATGTGATATATTCCAATTGCAGTCTATAAATGTAGATAGTATTTGATTTAGACTTCAGTTAACTCAATCACAAATGAAGATAGAACGAGTAATGTGTGAGTATGTAGAACTATGGTCTACTATGATATTAGTACTGCTCTAATAATAGACATAATCCTAAATTTGTAGATTCGTCATGATATAACTGCCTAATCTATAAGATCTTACGCGGAAGTCACACCATCGACTACGCCAACTCACTGTATCGTATCAATTACCAATATATGCTGTAGAACAAGGTTAGGCTAGAGAAAGAACAATATATTTAATATGAATAGAAGATATACGGTAACATTCGGCAGAGACCAAGCCTGCATGGCCGAGCCTTGCCATCCGATCAACTCCAATTCATTCAATTCATTCTTCGCGCCTTCTCCATTGTTAGGTATTTATCTGTGTTAAATATTGAATATCTATTTTCTGAGTAGTCTCGTGTTCAGCTTTGTGGATTGTGCGGTTATTGTTCAATGCCACTACAAGTAGTAGTGTATTTGTTAGCCAGCAAGAGTATGTCACGCTATGTGGTTGCATAACGGAAATGTGAGTTCAAGATCATTGACTAAAACAACAGGTACAGTCGTTTAATGATAAATATACATACAGTGAAAGGTCGACAACATAAACACAAATAATATTAAAAACTATTGACAAAATAAGCTTATCAGGTCTATCTCCACAGCCTTTTAGCTTCTTTGGACAACAGTAATGCAACTCCTTGTGTGTGCTAAACATCTACACGACCATAATACCAAAGCACCCTTCTCTAAGCTTATCTTTCCTGTCTAATTTACGTAAAACAATTCGCTAAAAACAAAGCCTGCTCAAGACCCCACAAAATCTACAAAAATGGGCTCAAATAGTTCCCACAAAAAAGAGAGACAGCCTTTTGTGTATCAGAATACTGTTTTCAGCACTAAATTTTATAACTACACATAATCCCAGCTTCTTTCTCAACCACCTCTATTTGTCAGTTGTTTATCCACTCATCCCTTGTTTACAATTATTTTCTTTAACATATTAGAATGCTCTTGCTTGATAAGTATCTTGATAAAAGAGGATTAGACTGAGTAGTCATAACTTAATTATTCCTTCACGAACATTGTCTGCTCTGCTTCTCTTCCTTTCTTTTTGCTTGACCCTTTTTCAGCCCCCTTCAGATATGCCACCGAAAACTGATTTGGAACGGGTTACTTCGTCCTGCAGCACCATCAAAGCCTCAGATATTCCAGAGGGATATAAGGTTGCAGTTTCTAGAAGCCTCCACCTTCACATGGATCTATTCTCGGCCAACAGCTGCACGTCGCAACGCAACTTTCATAAGGCGCTCAAACTGTGATACTGACAGTACGATCCTTATTAAACCTATCAACCCAGCTGAGTAATTTACTACAATGGAAATCGTATCTTTTGTAACAATTTGATTTTTCCTATAAACTGACATGCCTCATGTAACAAACTGTTATTTGAGAATAGATCATTATTGGTGTTATTAAATGAAAATTCACTTATCTCAAGAATTTTCAATTGTGTCTCCTCATTTCCGCAGGTATTTGACTTGTCCTTCCGGTATCCAACATTGTCTGGAAATGCCGTATCTCTATTTTAACCATTGCCCCGGTTGTTAGAAAAGGCATCAGCCTCGTGATTCCCTAAGAACCCCAGCTTTCACCATGAAGCGTCATTGTTTTTCAAAGCGAAGGTCGCTCAATTCCGAGGACAGAGTTTAAATGGTTCGAATGATTTTTGATGGATTGTGTTCTTATAGTATGGCTGTTTTCTACGTGTTGGGTTTACAACCCAAAGATCAATCCTTCTACTTCATTCGGACTTGGGGCTGGCAGTAATCCTATAATGGCCACGAAAGCTGTTACCCGATCGGCACATGAGTTAAAAAAATAAAACTTACTTTGCTATGCAGAAACTACTTAAGTTGATGCTGGTGTATTACAGAAGAAATAGGTAGTATACTTCCCTAATGGGTCATATGAAGTATAATGAAATCATCACAAATGACCAAAAATCAATTTTGCCTCAGCTTACCATTCGATTTTTTTTAGTTTTACACGTAAAGACTAGTTCAGTTTATCTCATCCGTTTTTATCCAGTTTTGCCAGATTTTAGTGTGCTTTTCATCCCGTAGTTTTATGAGTGAAAATGAGCTAAGACATCCCACCAACAACAGACACTGGAATTTCTAACGGTTGAATGTGTCAGCTCTACAGGACTATCTTCAACAAGTGGATTGGAAAATTCACCCTCAACTTGATGTGGATGATCATTGGGTTTTCTTACTGCGCGCCATCTTATGTGCTAAAACGCAGTCTGTTCCTCCAATGGTCCCCAAAATCTACAAGCAACCTACAGTCATCAAGAACCACACTCTTCGTTTGCTAAGCCGCAAAATGCACTGTTGAGTGGAATACAAACGCACAGTCCACCACAAAGAATGTCCGTCCGGTCATCAAAGAGCCTAGGATTCAAAAACGTACTTCAACCTCCAAACAACAAGGTGCTGAACCTGAACGCACCGGAAAACCTGGGAAAACAATAGCGTTTCGTGATGACTCTCTCATAGTCATGAACCTCAAAGACAACCCTGACCTTCCCCTCAGCTTGCAGGACAAAAACGACAGGATGCTCTGGGGAGAATTGAACGAGAAGCTTGAACTTCCTAGAATAGAGACTTTGACAGTCACACGGCTCACTCGAGGAAAGGAATCTAAGCATCAAAATCACTCGAGGCTTCTTCGTATAACACTTAGGAATGCTACCGACGTAGCTAATCATTTACTGAAATGCAATGGGAACGTAAGAATACTGCCCAACGTACTGTATTCTGAGCGCAATCTCATCCGAAGCATCCCTAAAGAATCTCGCGAGAAGTTTTTCCGCGGAAGAAATATCATTGTGCAAGATGTACCGGAAAATACGGACCCTAGTCAAGCAAACTCTAATATTAGGGAGTGGAAATTCATCAAACAGTCCTTGAGGTTCAAAAACATGCTGACTCAACATGTGACGAGACTAGCCAAGAAGGACGATGATTCTAGACCCCAGCTAATGAGGACAACTTTCCCATCCTCCCATATGGCGGCTGCAAGTCAGGAAGCATTTCATGCCAACAGATGTCGGTTGACAACTGGAGTTCATGTGCACCCAGACAGGCCACATGACACCAAGATCAAGCACAACGGCAAGTTGGAGCTGACCATTCCACTTGTGGACTGTCTTGATCACAAAAAAACGTGTAAAAGACAGGGCCTACCAACTCGGCAACCCTTATACAGGTAGGCTACCTGTCCATTCACGTAAGGCTTATAAAGACAAACAGACAGAAGCTCACGCACTTCAAAATGAAAGCATAAACTGCTTATACATGAACGACGCGAGTCTACCAAAAAAATGGATAAGCCACGTGAACTTAGCAATGCTAATAGGCTCATTTGATGGGAATATCTGAAACTTGGATATCTCAGTTTACGGACCAAGAGCTAGCAATACCTGGGATGTCCTTGTTTCGCGACGACAGAAAAACAGGAATTGGGGGTGGAGTAGCCGTATACATATGATCTTGCCTGGAGGCACACAAAGTTCACAACCATGAGTTTAAAAATCTTGAGGAATCTGTATGGTGCCCTGTAATATTGTCTACTACTTCGGAGTGCCCAGTCGGGGTCATCTATGGGAAGCCCGCTGCTGACTGTAGATCACCAATGTAGATGATCTATGTCGAGACGATTGGAGACCTACTCGAGTTAGACGTGAACGGTGTGACAAACTAGCTAACATTGAGGTCACACCTCGTGGTCAGCACCATAGGTGAAGTACCCCATTAACGTATCAAGGCACCATGGATGCTTTGAAGACTGCGGAACACAGAGGACGTTATTACAGAAATAAATTAGTTAAAGTAGATACAAGCGAAAGTAAGACCACTGCCGCATCGGCCAGTCCATGGCATACGATTAACTGATGCACGTTGGTTGTCCTCGACCTTGACGAGGATCGACGAGTTGTTCGATATTCAATGACTCGAATGCTGGTTGATATGGCTAGGGCTTAATGACATTTCGCAGGCCCTACAGGAAGCCCACTGCTGACATCGAGTATTTTGGAATGACTATTCCGCTCTACGCGTCTCGGATTCACTCATATCCGGATTCTAGGGAACTTCAATCTCTCTAGATTAAATTTCGCGGAACATACGTATATCGGAGGTGTAAACTCAACTGAAGCTCGGTTCTTCAACCTCATTCAGGATCTGAGATTATTCAAAAATATGAATCCGACAACTCCTTCAAGAAACAGTCAAACACCATCGCGCCTAGACTGGGTATTTACAAGAGAAGAACTCCCAGTTGGCAACCTCTTAATCCTGGTTCACCTGGGTGAAGGTGATCACGTCGTCACAGCCTCTAGTTTTATGAGTAACGACGGTGACGCCGCTAACCTTCTGAGTGAACAATACTCTGGGATATTTCAACCGACCCACATCAACTTTACTGATGACAGCTTCATCTGCAATTGCACAGGACTTTCCGAAGTGAACCTGAGCGCTGACTTGGTGTACCGGAAACTGCAGCACCTAAAAAAGACAATTCTCCTGGTCCGGATATGGTTCGTTCTGCTATAGTGAAAGAAGCAGCTTCAATCCTGGCAACACTGTCTAGCGTGATGTTCTCACACTCGCTAAACCGAGACAAACTACCGGAAATTCGGAAGCTGGCTCACATCACACCGATTTCCAAAGGTGTTCGGAGCAGCGAACCTTTAAGTTAACGTCCGATGTACCTTCGCTTATATATGTTATTATGATTTACCAATTTATTTGGTTTCCTCTACCATCGGTAATATACCTTGTTTCTTGCCTGAAGTATTGGTGATCTACTGCTACTAGACATGGAAGCCCGTTAGGCGAAAGCTTTTATGTCGCAAAAACTATTTGAACCATTGGATTTCGTGATGGAGGGATTTTAAGCCTGTGGGTCACAGTCAACATGATTCGTAATGTGATTGGCCGTTCAACTTGTCGACTTTCCAGGGTTAGCTGTGCCTTTGGTTTGTAAATGCTTCAAAAATGCCATTCTATACAGTTATTTAACAATATGGTGGTTATAATTGTTATTGTTTTAGCAAAGGGTGAAATACTACTATGTAAGACGCTCATAAATGCAAACTGTTTTCTGGGATGTTGATAGCTCTTACAAGCTGTTAGCTGTAGTTAAAACTCTGGTACTGTTTTAGAGCCCGACTTGTTGTCTTGTCTCGGTTTTAGGTGCGATTATATTTACTACAAACCTAACTAATATTGGGATATAATTAATATCAACTTGGGGTCATGTTCTGAATAGGTCATATCATTACTACCAACCTCCGAATTTCGGGAAAATGGCGCGAAAATTTTTTTTCCAGAACTGAGATCTCGAGTGTTTCTGGAGATATCTCCAAAACTTCCCCAGGGTCTCATAACACTGCGGAAATCTGTCTATATTTATTAATAAAACATCAAGATTCTCAGTAATTTTGGTTAAATTTCCCTGAAATCGTGTTTTTCACTAACATTCCCCCAGAATTCTCAACAACTTTGAGGAAACCCCTCGTCATTATATCGGTTCATAAACTTGATTGTTTATACAATTGTAGTACTTAAACTATATGGCAGTGTATGAAACCGACACAGATTGAGAGTGGCTCTTAGAAGTCATACTGACCCATTAACATTGTGAGATTAGTGATTATCTCTGTGTCGTGCTTTCGGAATTGGGATTGCTTATACATTACAGGAATATGGGAAAAATTCACTGGAAATAGTCATTGGGCTGAGCTTAAAAATTTGTATTTCACTTACGTTTTATGTCCTTTTCAGAATAGCCAACTATGTGACTAACCTATGTTTATGGGTGACTATACAAACTGTTTATTCTCACTTTCTATATGAATGTTTTTATTTCATTAGGTATATGCTAGCAGTCGTGATTACACATCACGAGCACCTATAAATATAGGGATATTGATCGTTCCAGAGAAAGAAGCATGGGTTATTGAAAGGTTAGGAAAATTCCACAGGACACTGGAACCAGTTAGTTTTTGAAAATTTCATCCCTGACAACGTATCACAGGGACTCAATTTTTGTATACCCATTCTAGATCGCGTCGCTTATGTACAGTCACTGAAAGAAGTGGCCATTGAAATTCCAGATCAGTCAGCCATTACATCAGGTAATCAGATACGTTATTTCTTAATCTTTTTTAAACATACTAAGCCTACAACCACATTTTCCAGCAATTTATCCGCAAGTAAACTATACACATAAACTAGTTGTAAGACCATTTCAGTCATACACCAATCTTTACCGCGTCTTTTCCTTATCTATGCAGTATGATAGTTTGCAATATTTTCGCCACGATGCGCGTCAGACTGATGATTTTAGTGCACATTAGTTGAACTTTTTTACAGATGTTCTTCATAGTTTCATTTGTTTGTCGGGATACTTGCAGCGTTGTTTACTTCCTATACAGTTCTGCTTCTTATTACAGACAGAAGTTTTCTGTTTGGTCTGTATTTATTTACCCTTGCAACTGCTCTTGTGGACGCTTACCTCAAGCATTTAGAGCTGAACGAACGGCAGGAAGTTAATTTTCAGCCTCTTTAGGTTCACATAATACAAGGTAACAAGTAGATAATTTATTTGTAGCAATTTAATAGAATTTTAGGCTCTCAAGATTAACGTGCTTTAGAGTTTTAGCGGAACTTGTATGTTGTCCGATCATCAGTGTGCTGGCGGATGTATTGAAAGTAGCTAATGTAATATGTACGATTTCGAGATTTATAAGTCACTTATTTTCACGAACATAACCATCTTAATATCCGAAGCGATTTATACTAGTTAAAACTTTTGAATGTGAAAAACTTTCTTGGTGAAGCGAAAATGAAACAAGTGATATTAACTACAAGAATGGAAACAAAAACAGATATAGTCAGTGTTGCAGGCAGGTTTTTTTGGGTTGCATAACTCATGTTCTGGCCATCTCGGTCGATGAAGGTTATTTATTCATTACCTATCACTATTACTCTACATCTAACTTTATCACTAGCCTTCTAGTGGCTTTGTCCTGTGCATCTAATTCTCAGAAGATATAGTCAATTATTTGCAACCTACGTACAGACTGTTTGATCCGCTTTTCTAAACCAATCGTTGTTTTGTGAACTTCAATTTTGCGCGTATCTCAATCTAATGATTTGGACGCTTCGATAAATTTAACACTGATTAATAGTCTTAGTTCATCATGCTTTCAAGATTTATGGAGTTGATTAATGCTGAACTATTGTTTATCCTCACATAATCTCAAATTTGCTAAAAGTTGAAGGGATAAATGTGATACTTTTCAAAGTCTTATTGCATTTGTATGGGAGTGGATTCTGTCTTTTTCCACTAACTACTGAGAGTTTAAATGCAACTGCTTTGATATTCTTCAATAAAATTTATGATAATGAATTCCAATTGTCAAATACGATCACAGATAGACATCTTCATCTATTGCAAAGCCTTTAGTTGAAACTGGTCATAAGGTTGATATCAAGTCCGCATATGTGGCGTTGTACAAAAGCCTTCAAGAGCGTATACTAAGGTTTATTGAAGCCTTGGATATACGGAAACTGAAACCCTCTTTATGTGTTCAAAAACAATTTGTTCTTACACTTAACCTACCCTGGCAATACTGACTTATTATCCAGAGTTGTTACCACATTGTTTTCGTGTATTTTATTTTTCTTTGTTACGACTTACCTTTAATCTGTCTAGTTGACCTTTTAGTTCTCATATAAAAATGTCTTAACAAGTATACGGTGATCAGATTGTTCGAAATGTATTCCCAAATATATTACATAATTCTGATAAACTTCGTCTTCTCATTGCTTTATCGAAATTTATCAAAGGGACTAAATGTTTTAAGTTTATGATAATCGTTAAAGATGAACGATAATCTAAATGATTAACATTTTAATTCTAGATAATGTCGTTTTACAATTGAACGGTGTTCTATTCCTTAAGGTCAAAAATCCTTATTTGGCATCATATGGGGTGTCCGAGGCTGAATTTGCAATTACCCAGGTACATTTTAAATTTTTCTTATTGTTGTCAACTTATTTGAATTATATTTCTCCTTATATATGACAGTCAAAATTAGTTGTAAGAAATATCACTTTTTTGCGACTTGTCTTCAGGCGATCTAGGATATGAGAAACTAATTGTACTTTTGAATAAATAGTTGCTGTTATATTATAGTGATTGCCTTAAATCGCAATAAAATATGTAACTTTGCTTGTCTATGTCGAGTATTTGTAGATTAAGAAATCTAAACGTTTACGTGTATTTCGTATTGATTGTATTAATTTCAAACTTTAACTGTGAATATCATTCAACTCCAATATCAAGAATTAGTGAAGTATGAACAAAAGAAACAACCTGGAACCTTACAGGTCATTGCTAAATGGCATTGAAGAGGTTCATTGAGTCTGTCAATTACGTTTTGATCATGTCTTAGTCACTAAATACTCAGGTGAAACTGACTAGATGTTTTTACGAAGTTGAAAATAGATTCGGTGAGTAAATTAATCAAGAAGCTTACTTTGTAGATACTGGAGCATGATAATTTGCATTATATCCACACTACCACAGAAATAATAGTGTAGTTGTAGCAAACTACTGTACCATGTTATGTAAGGCAAGGCTACGCAAAGCATATGAAGACAACTCATTTAAGAGTTTATAGAATGAATTTGCATATTCGCCTGTGAAATCAGTTGGGAAGGTAAAAATTATTGATTGTCTGTACTAATCGTTGTAAATTGTCCAGGACAGAGTTGAATGTAGAGTGATGATGGGTGGCCTATGCTCTTCGACGAGGAGTAACAGGCGTAAGTAAATATGTAACTGACCTCCAAATGCATTTCCTCAGATGGACCAACCTGTTGTGATCGAGTGTTTCACAAAATCTCAAAAGAAGTCTTTTATACGGAGTTATTTTGTAAATTTGGACTATTGGATATCCAGTGTTTTATCGTTGAGGTTTCATTACATTTTTATTTAAACTGTTCGCTTCAATTTAACTTCAGAATCCTTTTTTCCTTGATAATTAAAGTTAGCTCAAACAATTATGCGATCAGAAATCGGGAAGATAATTCTGGATAATGTTTTTAAAGAACGAGAGGCATTGAATTTTCAAATCGTACAAGCTTTAGGCAAAGCATCAGAGCCTTGGGGTATTGAGTGTTTGCGTTATGAAATTCGTAAGTAAAATATAGTTGTGATGTGATTGTGATATATTTATATACGCATTTTAGGCGATGTTCAGGTGCCACAAAAAATCAAAGAAGCTATGCAAATGCAAGTTGAAGCAGAACGAAAAAAGCGTGCATCCATTTTAGAGTCAGAAGGACAACGTGAGGCTGCTATTAATCGAGCTGAGGGTTTAAAACGTAGCCAGGTATTAGAGTCAGAAGGTCACCAGATTCAAATTGTAAATAAAGCTTCAGGTAAGTGCTCAGTTTTCGTTATTACTGTGCTGCTCATTTTGCACTAAAGATTTCACAAATATTTATCCGAAAAACGAACACTGCTAATACCATCGTAATTGAAGTCATTGTTCCCAAGACATATCTGATTTGTTGAGATAACGAGTTTCATAGTTTCTAAAACTTTAGTTGAATGCTGCATAATCGTCATAATATTCTGCCCGGTTCAACTGTTACGTACGCTCATAACAATTGAGCACCCTGATTGCGGAAATGGGACGACAATGACGACATAGGCTTTGAATATACAGCTAGGGCTCAGTGGTAGCGTCTCTGACTGTGAAGCTGGGTGACACGAGATTGAATCCGCCAGGGAGAACCAGTTCCCTCAAGATTACAGGTAAACCTTGCTGACGAGTGCCAAATAGCACGAAACCCGGATCCAGGGTTTCCTGTCGACTACCTCCAACCACCATCTAATCTCAATATATAGTGCCCGCAGTGTCGAGTCACCTAGATTGGTGGCCACATTGCAACATGATCGATAGCATTCGATCTGCACTAATAAGGACTAGACACGCATGACATTGATCACCACCCAGTGATCAATCAATTGTATTTGTATGTGACCGAACTAACACAGACAGGGAAACGTTGATGGACTCGAGACTGGCTATTCAAGGAAAGATCTATTTCGGTTTAATGGCCCAAATACTGTTTCTGCATCACACCAATCACGATAACTACTAATTAGAGAAGCTAAAATTACGAATCACTCACCTTACAGACTACAGTGTTTCGTTTCATACTGTGTTAAATTTGTGCTGTTCCAATCCCATTGTGCTTATATTTTTGATATCAGTCTTAATCTTCCATTTACCAGTTCGTTTATATAACATATCCCATTCTATCTAAATGATTTCAATTCGCTATATGGTTGTCTTGGGAGCTGTCATCGAACGTCATATCTGAAGCAGTTATTTAATATTCTAACCTTAATATCGATCGCACAACGGGCTTATGATTGGTTCTGTATCCTATAGATCCGTGCTAAAGATTTCGGTGAAGTGTTTTCGATTCGTAATGTACTTGTAGATTTGTAAATGCGTTCTGTTTTCACTTTTTCGGCGACTTACACTGAATTCCAGTCTTGTCAGCGTGTATCATTAAGCTGTACTAATGAGTTTTCTCCCCACTTACTGTTGCTCATGTTCTTCTAGCACGAAAGTAACTGCCCAATAAAATGGTGTTTCCACGTTATTTCTCCTTACGTTTCGATGGACTTCAGCTTAAATCTAGCCAAAGTTGAGTTCTACCATCAGCTGTATAAAATGTAGTCAACGTTTTGTATTGTCTTTTGAAATTTGTGCAGCATTGGGAGTTGACTAATAACGGCCATCAAAACGAATAATGTACGTAGCATATAAACTATCTTGATGAAATCCCATCACAAAGATAAAGGAACGTGTTTTTGGAAGTAGTAAAGATTATCATTCTAAAACATCTTGATACTCTATGGTTCCAGGATTTTTTTTATTGTATATTAAACGGAAGAATGTTGATTTGATTTTCCTTCTTAATGTTTAGGTGAAGCTGAAGCTATCCAACGTCTAGCAGAAGCTCGAGCTCAATCTATCCAAACCATTGCCCGTGCAATCGGTACTAAGGTAAGCAATATATTTCAGTACATTGAAAGTTATCACTAAAGTTTTTAGGATAAATTTATTCTGTACTAAAAGAATTATACACCTTTTGAATGTTTATTTTTATTTTTTCATTTTTAGAAATTCAAGCATCCATTTCAGTTCATTACAAGTGAAACTTATATTTGAAATAATCTCAGCGATTGAAATCTTAAATAATCTCAACGCTTCGTCCAGCACACTTGTCTAGACTTCTTCAGGGTAATAATCAACATAATCAAATCAATACTGTGCTAATCCAATCTTGTTTAGGTATTGACTCTAGTAAATGCGACTCATGTGAAAAGTTCACGATGTGGAGCTAAATGACTGAATGAATTGTGTGTGTGTGTGTGTGTAAGGTTGAGTTATTAATAGTTGATATTAGTTGTTAAATTTTTTTTTGTGTGAAGGAAAAAAAACAAAAGTGAAGGTTGAAAAATTCCGATCGCTGAGATTATTTCAAATATAACTTTCATATATAATGGCTTCTTTATACTCGGTGCCCAATTTTTGACAAACGATGTGTTCTAATATTGATGAATATTCGTATAAATCCATTTGAGGCGCTTAGTTGTTTAGTGGCATGTACCAGGCTAAAAGTATTAAATGTCATTAAATGAGACTTAAAAATTAGGAATATTCAAGTTTTATAACTTAGTAGAATATAAATGTGGTTTTATGTTCTTTCCAGTTGTATAGTTTTAAAAATGGAATTCCAAGTGTTGTACTAATTAGTATATATTGACACGTTTGTGAGATGTGTTTTGTAACTGCCTTACTTATGAGTAGTCAGTTTTGTTTGTCATATAATTTCACATGTTTCATTAGTCAATCCTAATTTTTATGTAAACATTTAAACACATATTGGTGTATATGGGTACCAAAATAAATATCCTCCATAAAGTTACGAAAATGAGATTGTAAAGTGTTAGAGTAACGAGAGGGAGTAAAATGAACTAAATGAGTAAAAACAAGTGAACGCGAATAGTTAATAATAATAGGAGAAACAAATCAGCGAGTATCTTTTCAGTTGAAGGAGTTTTCCTCACTTTTATGAAGAGTGCAAAGGTAAATTACAGAAAAGAACACTGTCTGCTCCTATTTTGAGTTATATATTTCAATGTCTTAAGCCACTCATTTGTATAATCTCGAAGACCTCAACTGTAATAAACCGACACATTCCAGTTCTATACAGCTTTTTTACATACTCCGGCGTCGTGCCATGCACTGACCACTTCTCTTTTTCCAACCAGTTTGGCGTTAGCAAATGAAATACAATGTGAAAGTCTCTGGAATGACATTTGTAACATGCTTAAGTAACTATTGTAAACTAATTTTCCTCTTATTGGTTGTTACATATATTATATATCCGGCCATTTTGAACCGGTTATTTTTGTGCCTGTCTGTTCTGATAATTAACTGTTGTTCCTAGGTTCATCACTTGCAATGTGGGCTTTAATCTTAGCTACCTATTATATATATATATATATATATATATATATATATATATATATATATATATATATATATATATGTATTACGAGAAGCAAAGACGGTCTTCTCATGTTAGTTGACCTTGAGTGCCTTATTTCAATGAATCTTACAATGTCTCGAAAAATTAACTGTCGTCGTTTAGAGCATAAAACATGAAGTCGCCATAATGAAAGTAGAGTACCTTTGAACCCAATGAAATATCATATATTCACCGAGTTTTCTGTGATTTTACAATTAGAAAGGTTTTCTATAAACGTACTAATGATTCACTTTCCTGTTTGTATTTTATTTTTAGCGTGGGGCAGATGCAGTACAGCTTACAGTAGCTGAACAGTACATAGAAGCTTTCAGTGCTTTAGCGAAGACAACTAATACAGTATTATTACCATCTCATAGTGGTGATGTTGCGTCAATGGTTACTCAAGTGAGTTTAATCAATCTTGGAATTTGTCCACATTTCTTACAATGTCAGAACGACGTTAGTTCAGTTTATTACTCGCTATAAGCTTTAGCCTAACCTTTCAAAAATGTATTTTACTTTCTGGTCACCATCTTCATATTCGGTGTTGTGTGGTCCGTCTACTGGACCATTCAGACCAAAGAATACACCCCCTCCAAAATGCTCATTCTGATCTATTTTTGGAAGTGTTTGAGTGAGTTGAAAAAAAGTCATGTCTGATTTAGTTCTCTTGTTTCCTTAGGCGTTTATGCCTACTGATTTAAGTCTTTGTTTTTCTAGTTTATGCTTGTGTTTTTTTGACAATCTCCTCGTTGACCATATATTTGATCTGATTAGTTTCCCTAATACAGATTGAAATAAATATTTTCTGTTAACTATCATCATTAGCCGCCTTTGGATCTACTGACTTGGATACTGGCATTCAGTTATAAGTTTCTGGATGCATTGAAGAAGCAGCTTTGATGGGCGACCTACACACATGGTTATACAGGACCTGGAAAACTGGTACAAACAAGTACAATTGGTCATTAGTAGTAACCTGTCTTTTATGCAGAAGCATATAAACAGGCTATTAGAGTAGTTTATGTAGAGATTTGCTGCATGGAATGTTTTTTGAATTGATCTTTTCAGATAATTTTCAAGTATATCATTAGAAATGTCTTTCTCAAATTGAAATTTTAAAAAAGTGTTGGATTTGGTTGGCTTCAGTCAGTCATATGCAATGTAAAAGAGGCTGACAAATTTGTGCATCAGTTAAAATGTAGTGAACACGAACACGAGTGGATTAATCGAATGTATTTGAGCACAAATACACAGAACATCTCACTAAAATCTGAGAACCATATAGTAAATAGTTAATTTACAAAATATCAATCCATCGTCTCAAACTTGACTGTTCCTTTCGCAAATATCAGTCCATTGTCTCAAATTTCATCGTTCATACATTTTCATACCAATTGCTTTCCGTTTCCGTTCTTCCCTTATCGATCTTCTACTGAAACACATTCTATGCCTGACCACCGTTACATACTACTTATGTGGATATAAGTAACCCACACCACAAAAATGGCTTTATCATATCAGCACAACTAGATGAAATTATCAAGAGAAATGCCAATATAGTAACGGTGTTAGTTATAGTAGAAAGGACTAGACACAGACAATACAAGTCGAGGAAAAAATGAAATCATTGGATAGAAACGTATAAGATTCGTTCTTGGTTAGTTCGTTCTCCAATTATTCTAATGAACAAATTTCATGATATATCTAAAGTATAATGGATGAATAACATATCACTGCCTTGTTATCAGAACCAAACTCGATAACTCTGTTAGTTGTTCATTCTATGTTACTTTTCTGTTTATATAAACATTTTGAGTATTCAGATATTTCTTTTAGTATGTAAGTGTTAAGAAATGGTATTTTTAATTCAGCTTCTTGCGTAACTGTAAAGTTTGATCGTAAGTGAAAATTATTAAAAGACTTCTGGTATCATAGCTGATGTGATTTAGTAAATCTTCATGAAACTTGTTGCAACTACACTACTTACATAGCTCTACAGACTACGTCGCATTTCATTCTATATAAATCAGATCTACACCCAGCTTCCAAAACCAAAATAGGCGAATTAGGGTTCAAATCTACGATCTAATGGTTAAAAGTTGAATTATTTGACTAGTAAAGTGATCTCTTCACACTTAAATTAGATACTTTGTGTAGAGAAATAACATTACTCTTTATTTAATATGTCAGTAGTGCATATCTTCAATTATGTACTGTATTTATTCAGTATAGCTCATGGTGTATCTGGAAATATACCAGACAGTATTGTCGTAATTTTTCAAGTGTTTCGTTTTTTTGAATTTTCTTTCACAGTAGAAAATGTGCTATTACTGAGGTTGTCTTCTTTTCTCTCTCTTTCGCTTTTTCCATTTACCATCATTAATTTTAGGCATTGACTATATTTAAAAGTTTAGATCAACCGAAAAGCAACATCGGTAATGATATTGATGGTGGATGTAATGATGAATCTTGTTCAGAAGTAGTAGCTGACCAACAGTCAAATCCCAATATTCTTAATAAAAATGATGGCGATAAACGAGAATACGAAACCATTGCACATCCTATCAAATCCAGATTATTGTCAAAAACCAATTCAACAGACCATTCAACGCTACATACAGAAAATAATGAATCTAATGGTTTTTCAAAATAATTTTGAAAAGAACCTACGACAAATACGAAAGAATAAAGCCATTATTGTAAAAAAAAGACCAGACATGTTTAGAGGATACAAGGAATTCATACATTTTTTATTACAAAGTGTTCATAGAATTAGAGAGATACGTTGGTGTAAAGTGGCTAAATACATATGTCCTAGTTGTTTTGGTTTTTCCACTATGTATATTGTTGCTCATTGTTTTCTCCAGTATAATCGGACTACTATGACGTGAATAAAATATATATCCTGTTTGATTTTGTATATGTTCTGTTGATTCAACATGTTTTGAGTAACGGTAATGTTAAAGTCGAATACTAATTATATTTCAATTGAATCACACTTGATGGAGAAGATTTACATATCTGGGCAGCATAATTGATGAACACAGTGGATCTGATGCAGACGTGAAGGCGCGAATCGGCAAAGCAAGAGTAGCATATTTATAATTGAAGAATATCTAGAACTCAAAACAACTGTCAACCAACACCAAGGTCTGAAATTCCAATACAAATGTCAAAACAGTTCTGCTGTATGGAGGGGAAACGTGGAGGATTACGAAAGCAATCATCCAGAAGATACAATTATCTATTAACTGCTGTCTACGCAAAATACTTCTGATTCGTTGACCAGACACTATCAGGAACAACCTTCTGTGTGAGAGAACAAACCAAATCCCAGCGGAGGAAGAAGCTCTGGAGGTGGGTAGGACACACATTTAAGAAAGCACCGAACTGCGTCACAAGGTAAGCCCTCACATGGAGTCCTCAAGGTTAAAGGAGCAGAGGAGGACCAACGAACACATTACGTCGAGAAATCGAGACAGCCACGAGAAGAATGAACAACAATTGAATAGAACTGGAAAGGAAGGCAGAGTGGATTGGAGAATGCCGGTCGGCGGCTTATGCTTCATTGGGAGTAACAAGTGTAAGTAACTAATTGTATTTAGGATGCGTATGTTGTAGACATGCTAAATATTGAAGGACAGATAATCATATAGGAAGATAAATATAGAAATGGAAAAAGTTATGAAATAGGATAACAACCGTTTGTTAACTCAGTAGACATAAATTTAAATCCTATATATATTGAATGTAATGAATGACATGAAAATTTTTAAAGTGTACTTCATCCATGTTAAGCAACTGCCCTGTAATTTGGCGATTTTTAAGAAAAACTTAATACAAGTGAGTGAATTTTGGAGGAATGACAAGATTTAGTGATAACCTAATGTTCCTTCTACTTTTGTTTTACATACCCCATATCAGTCGAAAGTGTTTTTGACATTTTAAGAAATCGAACTAGTGTCCCATAATTGTGTTAAAATATTCACTAACTATGAATAAGAATTTGAAACATCAAAATCCCAAGATAATGTATCCGTTTTAACAGCTGATTTTCTCCAGATTCAAGACAGAAGTATCATGTAAATAAAAAATATATATTCTAGAAATGATTACAGCACATGCTATTTTACATAGATGATCAGGTTGGTACAGAAGGAATTACTACATGTAAGGCACAAAGATATAAAGATAAAATGATTTGGAATGATGTGTTTTATTGATTGTTTTGAAAGGAAATTTATCCTGTAGATTATAGTAACAGTTGGGATCCATTTATTTCTAGGAGGTGGATTGCAATATCTTGTTGAATAATGAGTGAGTGGTTCATCGAGGGATGATCCTACTACGTTTACAAAATATTTATAATATAAAACTAGAGAAAATGAATTGGAAACAGAGAGCACAGAAAGAAGTTATTGTAATACTAATGCAGCAAAATAAATAATGGCAATGATTTTATTTCACGGAAAGATTGCTACAAATTGTTCCAGCTTTGAAAATTTGCTAGTAGATTATTTCATATAGAGAGAAGATTCAGAATGAAATCGCTTCACTAATTATAAACGGTTACAGATTCTATAACTAGGTGTTTCTGTATATTGGATTGTATCAATAGATGTAAAACATAGTTCATTTATTATTTTGAAGAAAAAGACCAAATTTTCATTTATATCTACGCTTGCAAGCATTTCACCCATAATATTGTAGAAATTTCGTATCTTCAAGCATCATAAAATCCGAATAGACTTATGACTATAAAATGTAATATAGACGTTTTGTTACATTTTATTATGGAGTTATAGTCGTTCTTGAGAATTAATTTTTCCTACTTCTCATTTTTAATTTCATCCAATTAAAATAATCAGCGAGAAGAAAACGCATCCGGTCATATAGCTATAAAAGGAATGTGTATTGAAAAAGAGTGATAATCTGATATGGGTAATCAAAGAATTTACTGAATTGACAGATAGTTCCCATTTAAACATTAAAATTAAAATACGAATTTCAGCGAAGGGATCTCTTTTCAACGAATTTATTATCAAGCTGTACAATCGTATATGTATGAAAATTTTGTTTTTTTTTTTGTAAGTACTAATTCCGTGAGGAAATGTGAACACAGTTAATAAAAAGGTTATAATACTAGATTACGTAATATGGATAATAACAATAACAATAGATTTGGTGAATATAATAAGATGATTAAAATGTTTTTTAATTGAGATCATGAACCGATTGATGTTAGACCATCACAATTGAAAACCTGGAAGCACTGGGCGGCCGTTCTGTCCTATTGTGGGACTCCTCAGCAGTGCGCATCCACGGTCCCGCGAGCGGGATTCGAACCCAGGGCCTTCGGTCTCACGCGCGAACGCTTAACCAACTGGACCACTGAGCCGGCATCCAATGGTGATAGTTTCTAACATCAACCGGTTCATGATCTCAATCAAAAAAACTTAATAATCTCCACAACCCCTATACTAGTAAAATGTTTTTGTTATAATAATTAAAGGTCATAGAGGTGTAAAAAATAAATAAGATGATATGATGAGCATTTACGAATAAAATAATGAGAAGATAAGACATAAGTAAAGGGGAGAATGCAGTAATAATAATAATAATAATAATGGTAATAATAATAATAATAGGATGATCAAAATAATTAAGGCCAAGGTAACGATAACGATAAGACGTACTTCTTTAGTATGCATAGTTCTGGTTTAAGCTACTGGATGGTAAGAGCTTCGGCTATTTTTAAAAGTTGGTTGCGAAGAAATCTGGGTAGATTTGAACGAATCATATAACTGTGTTCACATTTCTTCACGGAATTAGTACTTTTAAAAAACAATTTTCATATATATACGATTGTATAGCTTGATAATAAATTCGTTGAAAAGAGATCCCTTCGCTGAAATTCGTGTTTTAATTTACTGAATGTCAATATCAACTTGATAACACTGATCAATCTGAACAATCTTTCAAGTATACTCGTACAACATACAACATATACCAAAATGGTTGCAGAATCAGATGAATTCCAATGGTGAAATAAGATCACAGGACAGACAGACATCATCATCCATTGCGAAACATTTGATTGAGACGGGTCATAAGGTTGATATCAAATCAGCGTTTGTTGTGTTGTACAAAAGCCTTCAAGGACGTATACTAGGGTTTATTGAAGCCTTAGCTATACGGAAATTGAAACCCCTTTATGTGTTCGAAAACAATTTGTCTTTACACTTAACCTACCCTAGTAATACTGATTTATTATCCAGAGTGGTAATCACATTTGTTTTCTGTGTACTTTAATGTTTTTCCTTTGTTATGACTTACCCTTAACCTGTCTAGATGACCTTTTAATTTTTCATATATAAATGTTCTTAACAAGTGTATGTGTGATTAGATTGTTCGAAATGTATTGCGCAAATATATTACATAATTCTGATAAACTACGTCTTCTCATTGCATTATCAATATTTATCAAAGGGACTAATTGTTTTAAATTTCTGAAAAGAAGTCTCCCTACTTATTTTGTGGCAATGTGTTCACTCCATTATGAAGCACGATGAGTGAAGTATAAACGGAAGTTCGTCAAATTTTGTACATCATACTTAGTCTATCCTTGTTAGAATTTATTTCAGACATTCGGATATTCAAACGGACAGTAAGATATGGAAGATGAAGAAGAGCTTCTGAGCCTACTCCATTTAATTACAACACGACTCAGTAGTTCTAACCATAAAAT